TGTTTCAATTATCTATTGTATTTATCTTTTCAATACGACAGCCAAATAAAAGTTAAATAATATCACATCATCAATATTATTTAGCTTCTCTTGTAGTTATCTATTGTATTTAGTATTTAATATCACGTCATTGATATGCAATATCTACAGTATTTAGCTTCTCAATATGACAGCAAAAAAAAAAAAACTAAATAATATTGCATGTTATTAAAAATTATATTTAGCTTCTCATGCAATTAACAATTGTATTTAGCCTCTCAATATGAGAGCTGAATAAAAAATAAATAACATCATGAAATTAATATGCAATATCCACTGTATTTAGCTTCTCAATGACAGCTAAATAAAAATTGTATAATATCACGTCATTAATATTATTATGAAGCTTTTCATGCAGCTTTCTATTGTATTCAGCTTCTCATGTAATTAACAATTATATTTAGCTTCTCAATATGACAGCTAAATAAATGTAAAATTATTTAACATGTCATTAAACACTATATTTAGCTTCTCATGTAATTAACAATTGCTTTATCTTCTCAATATGAAAGCTAAATGAAAATTAAATAATATCACATTATTATTATTATTTAGCTCTCATTAAATTAATTATATTTAGCTTCTCAGTATAAAAGCTAAATAAAACAACGTAACCTATGATGATGAACTCTCTGATGTAAAATAAAGTAAACACGAGGAACAAATAATAATAACAATGGTTGAAATGTTATATTAGAATGCCATTTCTTCCTTTGTCTTTAAATGTCTTTAAAAGACCAAACTATGATAACATTTCAGAATAACAACAGGTTTGTGTTAATATATATACAGCAAGACTTTTGTTTATATTTTCTATCATTTGAAATGACAAATATTGGAAAAAGTCAAAATTACATAAATTATTATTATTCACAAATTATTCTGTAAGCTGTACTAAAATAAGCATGTCTTATCAATATGAAAGCCAAAAAAAGTGCTATATCTCATGACAACAAACAGTCTAGTGTATTAACCTTATTCTTTGCCGACGAGTGGGCCCAGCCATTAGAATCTTTTTGGCTCAAGACTTCCGGTCTCATTCACTTCCATTCATTTCTAGACTTTAAAAACTGCTAGTTAGGCTGCTTGATGTTGCAAACTAATATTTTCTTATTATATTATTCTATTTGGTCTGTATAGTAATGCAAACATTTGTTTGTAGAGCAAGTAGTTTGAACATTTTTCTGCCGTTTATTATTCCTAGTCATTGCTCCCATAGGCGACCGAATCGAAAGTTCTAAAACTATCGCGAAAACAGGCGAACTTCCGCATTTTAAAATAAGGTCAATATAATTAATGAAAACAAATAGCAACAGTAATAGTTACTATTATACGAGTAGGCCATTTCTACCTTTATTTTGAATAAATTTTCATATACATAAAAATTACATGTTTCACCGAGCCTTGTCTACATTAATTTTTGCTTTGCAATATTTTTAATAAACAAAAATAAAAATCAGAAAAAGCCTCAATTGCAGTACTTGAATTGCATTTTAACAGTGTGCGGAAATGATTGCCCACCCTATCATCAAAAACACACATTTTCAAAACACCAGCCTTTCCTCTCCATATGAATTACATATAGCATTGTTATAAATGATTTTTCCATAATTATGTTATTATATTTATTTATACAGTTGAAGTAAGAATTATTGCCCCCCCTAAATTATTATCCCCGTTTATTTTGCCCCCATTTCTGTTTAACAGAGAGATTTTTTTCAACCCATATCTAAACATTATAGTTTTAACTCATCTCTAACAGCTGATTTATTTTATCTTTGCCATGATGACAGTAAATAATATTTAACTACATATTTGTCTAGACACTTCTATACAGCTTAAGCTGCATTTAAAGGCTTAACTAGGTTAAGTTAACTAGGCAGGTTAGGGTAATTAGGCAAGTTATTGCATAATGATGGTTTGTTCTGTAGACTATCGAAAAGAAATATAGCTTAAAGGGGCTAATAATTTTGACCTTAAATGGCTTTTTAAAAAAGTAAAAGCTGCTTTTATTCTAGCCGAAATAAAACAAATAAGACTTTCTCCAGAAGACAAAATATTATCAGATGTACTGTGAATATTTCCTTGCTCTGTTAAACATTATTTGGGAAATATTAAAAAAAAAAAAAAAAAAAATGTCTAAGGGGGGCTAATAATTCTGACTTTAACTGTATATATAACTGTATATGTATGTATGTATGTATGTATGTATATATATATATATATATATATATATATATATATATATATATATATATATATATGTGTGTATGTGTGTGTGTGTGTGTGTGTGTGTATATATATATATATATATACATATATATACATACATACATACATACATACCTACCTACAAACATACACACAACATATTTACAAAAGCTAGTGGGAGATGGTACCTCCCAGTAAAAGCCTGAATCGTGTCAATTAGATTGTGCTAGTAGTAAACAATGTAGTAACACGTTATGTCATCACAAAAAAATCAGTATGAAAGACACAAGGAAACTGCATTTTCTGTCGCTGCACAGCTGAAGACGCCTCGGTACGTCCTTTAGACAAAAGGTTTCTGCGCGAAGGACGGTCACCAAATAAAGCTTTGTGCAAACCACACACACACACACACATACACTAGAGCTGCACGCATGAATACAATATTTCATGCACGTCGCAGCTGCAGCCACGCTTTATATCATAAGCACCTAGAAATATAAGCATACAAATATATTTACATGCATTTATGTCAGGCGTGATGCAGCCGCGTGAAAATGGGTGGTGGAAAATAATGCAAATTACAATAAATGCAAGTCGCAGACTGACTGCCTGACATAAAGAAGGGGTTTATTATGAAAACCTACATCATACAGTATCACGTTGCGGTCTGCGCCACCCCTCAGACAATGAGCCCGCAGTGGGTTTATGAGACATGCGGGCCCCTCCAGCTCTTCTACAGCCGCGTCTAAAAACGCGTAGCGAACGCGCCTGTCACTGACGCACCGCGAACTAGCAACACAAACCTGCTGCTAATATTCGCACAAATCTATGATATCCGTACACAAATCTTCTACATACTGCATTACTCTTCTTCCAGCACTCAAACTGGCTGCTTTAGCTCTCCGTAGCAAAAAAAAAACTCAACGCGTTTTCCTCATTTCCACAGTCGTAAACCGCGACAAAAAACAACTGAAACTTTCCACTCACCGTCGCGGCGGTCTCCGTCTTCCTCTTCGTCATTCACCCGCGAGCAGAGAACGAAAGCTCGACGATTTTAAAGAAAAGAAAGGTGTGTATCGGAGGGTAAAAACTGAACATTAACCCTACGGCTGCGTGACGTCTCTCAGTGCTGCTTTTGAAAACATCGCCGTCAGTCCGTCTCTAAGAAAAGCCCCAGCGAAAAAAACACGCGCAGCTAGGACGCTCATTGGTGGACGTGATGCCACGTGACGCGCAAACGCTTTTTGCGCGTGCTCGTACTCGCTCTGCTGCCAGGCTGTTTTATTTTTTTCAGTATTTATTTTTCTCCCCTCAACATTTCTCTTCGCCTTTGTTAATATTTAAATGGTTATTTTAATATTTGATGCATCCAATAAATATACCACACTGTTTTATTCACGATTAAACATTTTAATGCTTTAATATTTTGCGTTAGCAATATGTTATGATTCTTTATTTTCTATTTATTTTATTTTTTAATTTTATTAAATCTATTTTGCCTGTAATTACTTATTTAAACCTTGAATTTATTAATATTTACATGCAAAATAAATATAATAATTTGCATGTACATTAAATATTCAATGTTTAAGTGAAAGTAAGCTCACATTGTATGTAAATGTCATAATATGAACAGAAAATAATACATCGTGATGTTAAAATGCATGACTTTATTTGTCATTTATATAAATTCGATTATTTTTAATCTTAATACAATAATGATTGTGTTGCTTTGCGTCCATAACATTAATACAAAACATCCACTCTTTATTTTATAATAAATTAATGCTTTTAGCCTTCATCATCATTATTATTTCTACATTATTTCTACAGTATTTTTGTAGGACTGTTTAATACAGATTTATTTGACTCTCCAGGATGAAAAGGGGGGGCTGACGCTGTGCACCGTGACGTCACCCTCTCCGTCGACGCCGCAGCGAGAGCGAGCGCGCGCGAATGTTCTGGAACGCGCATGTCGGAGAAACACGAGAAGGTATTTGTCGAGCGTGGCACAATGTGGCGACATTCATTCAGCTTTAACAAGCGCACAAAATGTGTTAGTTTCGTTTGATTACAACGCCGTTGTCGCGCATTAGTCGCGTATTATTGTTGTGGCGCAGTTCGTTATTTACGTGATGTAGGAAAAGGGGAGCTTGCGCATGCGCAGACGATGAGCTGGTATTATGTTGCAGAACGAGCTCGAATCACAAGGGAGAGCTTGGTGTGTGTGTGTGTGTGTAGGGGGATGGGCGCTGGCTAGACACAGCTACACTCAGTTTTTGCATGATATGCGACTATGATGCGGTCAAAAGAAACGAACAAACCATGAAGAAATATGCGTGCATGATGTAAAACACGTTGTTTATTTGAAGAAATGGGTTATAGTTGTAACTTTTAACAACATAGCAGCTGTATTGCACCATTTGTATAATTGCAAAACTGTTTTGGCAGCTGCATGTTTTATTTTAATCAACCTATATATGTGTTTTGTGTGTTATTTAGCTTTATTATAATGCATTTGTGATAGTTTAATTACTGAAAACAGTGTCCTCTTCTGGTTGTAAATAGAATACTTGGTGTAGCCTACATTTCAGGACGCCAATATTTGATCATTTATTATAGGCATGGACAGTAGCTAATGGCCAAATAACATAACAGCAAAATCAAATGTAGAATTGCAGCAACCACAATAATTTATTTGAACATATACCGCCGTAAATATGCTAATTTATGTGTTGAATGACTGTGCAACATTATAATCACCCATATGTTGACATTTTAATTTATTTTCACAAAAGTTATTGTGCTGTCTATGCCATATTAAAAGATTATGGATCAGTTTGGCCCTAAAATACTCATTATTATTTAAAATATTTGCCAACATTTATGATTAAAAATATTATTCAAACTACTGGGTTACATTGGTTAGATGTTTTTAATCATTTAAATAATAATAAAATTACATTTTAAACAAAATAAAATGAGTATGATCACTGAAATTATTTTATTTGAATACAGACATCAATAAATATGATTTTTACTTAATATCTGTGATGTTGAATTTTCACAAAAGCTATAGCGCTTTCTATGCCATATTAAAAGATTATGGATCAGTGTGGCTCTAATTACTCAATACCATTTAAAATATTTGCCAAAATATATAAATAAATACTACTGGGTTATATTAGTTAGACGTTTTTAATCATTTAAATCATAATAAAATTCCATTTAAAATAAAATAAATTTACCATGATCACTTTTATTGAATTTTATATATATATATATATATATATATAAATTAAATGCATACAACAATAAATATGCCAATTTATTCATTTATTTCACAATCATAATTATTTGCACAATTAAAATTGCACATATTGATCTTGAATTGTACATACCCATTGCACATGTACATTTGTAATGTTCATATCTATCAGCATACCTCTGATTATTAATAGCAAACTATACATATATTTAACTATTGTAAATCTCTGTTCATAGCTTATACAACCTGTACAATGTTCATAGTGCATCCATTTGTAAACACTATAGTATTTCTATAACTGCACTTTATAACTTATACCTGTATTATTCTATTATTATATATACCTGCATTATTAAACTATTATATTGTCTTGTACATGTGATATTACAATAAAGTTGAATCTAATCATGAGGTATGTGCTAACAATTAGTTATCAAAAAACAACAAGTTTTCAAAAATGTATTTTATATTGTACTTAAAAATTAAATAAGTCTATGTGACTAATTCTATATGAACATTCCTCTTTTAGTTCATATTTAACTGTTCAAGTTTATTTGTATATGGCGCTTTTCACAATAATTAACATTCCAAAGCAGCTTTACAAATATAATATTGATTTTTTTATTTTATATTAATATAATTTAGGATAATTTGAAAAAATCCTCAGATTTTTGTGATATCTGGGAGGGGTTTTTGAACTTTGTAAAAAAAAAAATGGAGATTTTTTTTATTATTAATTTATTTTAATATTATTTTTAATTATTATTTTTTTTTAATAAGGATTATTATTTAATTTAGTTTTTTTTTCTAAGCCTGTCTGGGATAAATTTTGGATATTGGGGTTTGAATTATTGTAAAATCTTGAAAAAACTCAATAAAGAAAGTGTTATACAAATAATAATAATAATTTCATGTATATTACTGGCTGGATTAAGCATTTTTGGCTCAGCATGAATTATTTCAGTAAAACTGGAGCGTTTACTGACCATTAGAGATATCAGTTCTTCATTAGCATCTGTGTATGGACTTAAAATGCATTGTACGCACATTATCTCCGTCATCTCAAATAATTCATAGATCTGGATCAAAACTTCATAGAATAATAGATCAAAAAACTACAATCAGAAAATGTGACAGGCCTAATATTGTTCATCTGATTTACAGTTATTAAATAATATTTCAGTTATATTCCAGCAATAAATTAAGCACATGCACTGCCATCTAGATATTTAGTAGTGCTGTCAAGCGATTAATCACACATAATCCCATCCAAAATAAGTTCATATTTACTAAATATATTTGTCTTTATTGTCAATATTTTTGAGTATGCAAATATATGCATGACTATAATGTATAAAGACATGTAATGTAGTACACTCACCGGGCACTCTATTAGGTTCACCTACTAGTACCAGGCTGGACCCACTTTTGTCTTCAGAACATCATTAATCCTTTATGGTATAGATTCAACAAGGTACTGGAATTATTCCTCAGAGATTTTGCTCCATATTGACATGATAGCAACACACAGTTGCTGCAGATTTGTCGGCTGCACATCCATGATGTGAATCTCCCTTTCCACATCCTAATGGTGCTTTATTGGATTGAGCTCTGGTGACTGTGGAGGCCTTTTGAGATCAGTGAACTCATTGTCATGTTCAAGAAACCAGTCTAAGATGATTGGCGCTTTATGACATGGTGCATTATCCTGCTGGAAGTAGCCATCAGAAGATGAGTACACTGTGGTCATAAAGGGATGGACATGGTCAGCGACAATACTCAGTTCTTCTGCAGACCTCGGTTGTAACGAGTGCTTATTTGAGTTACTGTTGCCTTTCTATCAGCTGGAACCAGTCTGGCCATTCTCCTCTGACCTCAGGCATCTACAAGGCATTTACGCCCACAGAACTGCCGCTCACTGGATATTTCCTCTTATTCAGACCATTCTCTGTAAACCTTAAAGATGGTTGTGCGTGAAAATCCCAGTAGATCAGCAATTTCTGAAATACTCAGAGCAGCCCCTCTGGCACCAACAACCATGCCGCGTTCAAAGTCACTTAAATCCCCTTTCTTCCCCATTCTGATGCTCAGTTTGAACTGCAGCAGATCGTCTTGACCATGTCTACATACCTAAATGCATTGAGTTGCTGCCATGTGATTGGCTGATTATAAATGTCAGTAAAGAGCAGTTGGACAGGTGTACCTAATAAAGTGGCCGGTGAATGTATATTTCACATTACTGTAGTAATATAACACTTGACAGGTTTTATGTGGGAAAACCGCATGTGGGAGAGCCTCAGAAATGCTTGTTTTTTTGACGTGGCTTATTTATTTATACATCTTGGACTGTAGTTTTGTGCCACAAAAGTATTTGGATGTGGGAAACAGGTATAGGTTTTATGCCACTTCCAGTACGGGAAATAATATGTCCTTTTTAAAGTGTTGTTTTCTTATTTTTAATAACCTATGTGCTTATGTTATGTCTTTTTATTAGATTGCAATAGAATATGGATGTATGCCCTCATGGTGACCATGTTTGCATGCATACAACACTCATTATCATTTAAAATATTTGCCAACACATAAATAAATATTATTCAAACTACTGGGTTACATTAGTTAGATGTTTTTATCATTCAAATCATAATAAAATTACATTTTAAATAAAATTAATTTAGCATGATCTAAATATGGTTAAAAAATATTATTATATATATTTTATTATTATATATTTATATTATATAGTATATCAAATACTAAATATTATTAAAATAAGCTTTTATTTTAAAATAAGGCTATTTGAATGGATACAGCACATAAATATGCAAATATTTCTGCATTATATCTGTGACGTTGAATGACTGCAACATTATAATCACCCATATTTTGACATTTGATTTATTTTCACAAAAGTTATTTTACTTTCTATGCAATGCTAAAAGATTAATGATCAGTTTGGGCCTAAAATACTCATTATCATTTAAAATATTTGCCAACACATATAAATGAATATTATTAAAGCTACTCGGTTATATTAGTTTGATGTTTTTAATTATTTAAATTATAACAAAATTGTATTTTAAATAAAATAAATATGATCACTAAAATGATTTTATTTAAATGCATACAGCAATAAATGTGCACATTTTCATACAATATATCTGTGACGTTAAATTATAATCACTCATATGTTGATATTTTATTTTCACAAAAGTTGTTGCGCTTTCTATGCATTTAAAATGACAATGGCAATTTAAATTGATGCAAGTAAATCTCGATTGTGCATTATAACGAAAGTTATGAAAGGTCAAGCAACATAAAAACATATTATTAAAATAATAGCGAGATCAGAGCGTCGTAAGGGAATCACTGTGCATGTTCTGCCATTTATTACCTGTCAAAAACACACAGAGGTAAAGCTGCAGTACAAAATGACTAAAAATGCAGTGTAATAACTGGTAAAAAATCTCTCAAGTATTGTATTACCTTTGCACCCAACATGTGTTCAGAAAGGCCTAAATAAATCAGATTGTGTCCATGCAAACATGCTTCTTGTTTGCATCAGGATATTTTAATATGTACGCTTAATACTCTCCCATAAAGCTTTACCACTTTTCCACACACTTATTCATCATCAGAAAAGAATGACACCGGTCTCCAGAGTATAATTAATGATAATATTTTATTTACATACACGGCATGTGCGGCGTTTAGACGGAGATCAGTTTACAGGTCAGCTCTCACACCAACACCGGGTCCAGGAGGAGGTTCAGTCAGCGAGGTTAATCCTCCCGCCGGCTCACACGAGAAACGGCCGCTCCTGATGCAAACCACATCATTACAATCAATTTAAACACTACAACTAGAAAGTTTGTCACTTAATAGCTTTGTTAAAATATAACTCGTATTTCTGAAATACCCTGACTTTACCTGAATACAGCCGGGGAAATAAGTATTGAAAGCATGTCATGTTTTTTTGGGGGAATAATGTTTCTAAAGGAGCTGTTGACATGAATTTGAAGCAGATTTTGGTAAAGACCCAAACAATACAAACATAAAAATAAAACCAAACAAAAAATCCTGAAACTTAAAGAAACTTGTTCATGCTTTTATCAGCAGCAGGGTAGATTACTGTAACGGCCTCCTCACTGGCCTTCCCAAAAAGACAGTCAGACAATTGCAGCTCATCCAGAAAGCTGCAGCCAGGACTCTTGACCAGAAGCAGGAAATCAGAGCACATCACACCTGTCCTCAGGTCTCTACACTGGCTGCCAGTTACATTCAGAATAGATTTTAAAGTATGATTACTTGTCTATAAATCACTAAATGGCCTCAATACAATATAGATATGCTCACTTTATACAAACCTAACAGATCACTCAGATCTTTACGCCCCATTCATACGGGGCGCCAGCGTCAACGCTTCCCATTCACTTTGAATGGGTGACGTCAGGCAATGCTGAACTGCATTGTGGATCCGTCGGCGCCGCTTCAGAGGTGTTGCTCGCTGCAGAAGTTGGGACTAGCTCAACTTTTCAAGCGCCGACAGAAGCGTCAGCCAATCAGATCGCTGTATGCAAATACACCAGCTAGACAGTGGCCTAATGCGGACTGAATTTCATTGGCTGACGCTTCTATGACGATCGCTTCAGCCAACTTCAGACACGCCTTCAGTCAAGTGTTGAGGCTGAAGCCCTGTGTAAATGGGGCGTTAGGATTATATAAGCTAGAAATTCCAGTCAGTTCAGTCAAGGCAGGGGTGAATCGGCCTTCAGCTACTAACAGCGCCCCCCGCTGCTGGAATCAGCTTCCAGAAATTATCAGATGTGCTCCAACATTAGGCACATTCACATCAAGACTGAAAACACATCTGTTTAGCTGTGCCTTTACTGAATGAGCACTGTGCTGCGTCCGACAAATTGCACTATTGTGTCTTTCTTTTCATTTTAATTCTTTTATAACCTGTTTTAACACATTTAAATCTGTTTTTTATATTACTTTATTATTTTTTAAATATATTTTCTTATACTTGTCTTTTATATTCTTATGTAAAGCAGTTTGAATTGCCACTGTGTATGAAATGTGCTATATAAATACACTTGCCTTGCCTAAAAATTGAATTGCGTGTAATAAAAATGAAATGCACTTTTCAATCATTAATAATAAAAATATTGTCTTTTCTAAAAGATAGATTCGGCTCTGAATCATCTTAATGAGTTGTTATATTTATTTACAGTGGGAAAAATAAGTTTTGAACACGTCAGCATTTTTCTCAGAAAAGATATTCTAAAGGTGCTGTGACTAGGCAAGGGACGATAACCGTTTTCAAGGTATACCGTGGTTTGGAAACCACCAAAATTTTCTGTAATACTGTTTCTAAGGTATGTGTAAGATTTTTTGTATTTACATTGTTAAAAAGTTTTTTAGGACAACAGTATCTCCAGCAGAAAAGACATCCAAAGATGCCATCTTAAAACGTAAAGAAATCAGTGTTTTTGAAACTAATGAAGACAGCTGAAGTCTGTGACTTGCTTGAATTATTGAGCCCGCATGTTTACTGCTCCAAAATATGTTAAATGTTTCAAAAAATAAAATATATTGTGTTCAATGGGAAAAAAAGTTTAGTTTTTTTACCCAGACATTTAAAAATCATATATTTTAGAGCAGTGATCACAATACTGTGAAACTGTGATACTTTTATCCAAGGTTATCATACCTTCAGAATCGTATACCGGCCTATGCCTTGCTGTGACAACCAAGGAAATCCATGTATGCAAAGAAAACAAATTAATTACTTTACAAATGAAGTTATGCTTAATATAATTAAATGACGCAGGGAAAACATATTGAACACATGAGGAAAGGGGGGTGCAGAAAGACATAGAAAGCCCAGACAGCAGCTGAAATCTCACAGTAGTTCTTCAGCAACCCTCTGCTCTTCCTCAATGTAAATGAATATCAGCTGCCTCAGTCCAACATCTACATTAGCAGGAGGATGAGGATGAAACCAGAGTGGACATTTCAGCAAGACAATCATCCAAAACTCAGCCAAGGAAACTCTCAGATGCTTTCAGAGAAAGAAAAACAAGCTGTAGAATGGCCCAGCCAATCACCTGACCTGAATCTAATAGAGAACACAAAATAAAGCTCTGATTTGTAGACGAGACCCACAGAACATCAAGATTTTGACACTGTGTTGAAGTCTATGAGAAACTCACACCTGAGCAATGCATGTGACTTCATTCTGCTTCAATTCCATGTCAACAGCTCCTTTAGGAATATTATTCCCAGGAAAAAACATGACTTATTTTTCCCGCTGTATATATATGTTACGTCAGCATGATTAAAGTCTGCATAATCTCCACCTGTCCATGAAATACCAACAGTCTGAAATGGATATTATGGCCCGTTTCCACTGAGTGGTACAGTTCGGTTTGGTACGCTTTTATGGCTGTTTCCACTATGAAAAGCGTACCGTACCAAACTGTACCATACCACTTTTTTCGGCACCCTTTCGAAAGGGTCCCAAACGGGAGAAAGGGTACCAAAAGGTGGAGCTACACGTGCAGCTGAACGCTGATTGGTTACAGAGATGCGTCACAAGCTCGTGGAGCTACAGAACGTAAACAAAGGAACCGCCATATTTTTTTTTAAATACAAAGCCGAGACATTACATGGAAATACTATATAAATATAAAAACCAGCCATGGATGACCCAGGCTCAAACAAACCTTGTCGTCGTCTCGATGAACAGACACACAGCAAAGAAGAATAATCTGCCCTGTCCTGTTGTTGTGTTATGAGCCCGTCTAAAAGTGCGAGCGGTATTCGCTTTCTTCCGAGAGCTCGCGATCGCTTCTATATTTGATATAATGAACTTCTTGAGCTGTTGATAATAACGTGTGATTATTGAAGTGTCTCCGTCATCTGATTCGTTCAGGAAAAAAAGGACAAGCGCGAGAGTGAAGCGGGAGTGAAACGCGAAAAAAAAAGAGAAGCCGTCAAAACACAGGTGCAAAATTGTTTTAGCAACCTGAATCATGAACAAACTGCCATGTTTATCTTCGCCTTTTGGATTAATATAGACTGGGAATGACAAAATGACTCTCTAACAGAGCTTACATGTGCTGCTGAAGATTACAGACACAGATGAGAGGTTGGCGCTGACTGTGGGCTGTATTGCGTGGGTTTTTGAACTCAAATAAGTACTAAATGTTTGCTGTGTGTAGTTTTTCTGTAATTAATAATATATCAGAGACTGTAAGGGTCTGTATGTGTTCATATATGTTGCATTTATATATTTATTTTATATAATTACAGACGTTACAGTAGGCTATTTTACACCGTCATTGATCAGCAGTTATAATCAAATCATGTTCATAGAAAGGTTAGTAATAAACATTTATACACAAGTATTTATGTGTATAAAGCATCTGTTTTGTGAGAAGTGCTGCTCATTATGATATGTGAACCACCCGTACAGCTTTACTGTAGACATTTATTCGAGCGAGCATGATGTCGACTTAAAATTTGTCATACACCACACCCACCAAAAGGTGGGTGGAAACTAGGGATGGGAAGATTAACCGATATGTATCGATACGCGGTCATGCGCGTGCACGATGCTAGTGCATCGGTAGAGCAGCAGAGGATGAATGAAATTTTGGAAGCAAATCGAGATGCATCGGTTTTTGCGAATTGCATCGATTTTTCCGAGATACAGCTTATATTTTTAATATAGAATGTATTTTTTATTTATTAACAAGTGTTGTCAACCTGTTTTTGGCGCATAATTTAATCAACCTACATAAAGTATGCATTAGCAACGGGCTTGCGGATGTGTACACTTACACTACAACTTAGTGTATCAGGTGTGCGGATGAAGCTAGTGGAGCGCCCTCAGAAAGCGCGAGAAGCAAAACAAACATTTTATTCCTCACTGAGTTTTAAATCTAAAGTATGGCAACATTATGGATTCTGCAAAAAGGATGGACGACTTGACAGGACAGATGCAATTTGCAAAATGTGCCGCGCATCTGTAAAATACACGGGCAGTACGACTAATCTGATATCTCACTTGAAGCGGCGCCACGGTGTTGTTGTGAAAGCATCTTCCAGTGTTCCTGCATCCCCGGCTTCCTGCTCTGCTTCAACTGTAGCTACCAGCTCCAAAAGTGGTGAGAAAAGCATTGAAAGTTTTCTCCATGCGCAACAGTTCTGCTCGCTCTACGCCAATAACGAATGCTATTGCATTGTTCATCTGCAAAGATATTCAGCCTAGTGTCACGGAGAACGAAGGTTTTAAACACCTCCTCCTGTTAATTTTTATTTAATTATATTTTTATTAGCCTGTTGTTTACAGTGATAGTGATGTTTCAAAGCAGCATAACACTGCTAGTTCACGACCTTAAGTTTTGAATATTCAGTGGCACAATATATCTTTGTAAAACTTGTTTTCATAGTTGAAAAGTTAAATCACAATTCTTGTTGTGCAGTGGTAAACCTTTATGTTGAAAGAGTGCAAATATATACATTTATAATATATATTGCACTTATACATTCTGTTTATCTTGATAATACTTAAATAATATGTGCTATATGTTTTAAAATGGCCCTCTACTGTAAACTGACACTCTGGCTCTGAGAGAAAAGCCAGTTTGTAAAAAAAGTCTTGGTTTTGCTTGGTTTATAAATAATCAAACTCATTCAATGGCACAGCATCCTTCCTACATCATCTCATAAACTTGATCTAATAAGTTAGTGCTGAATTATCGCATTGTATCGTGATATGGGTGTGAATCGTATCGTGTTGCATCGCAATATGTCACAAATGTATCGCTAATATATCGGATCGTATTCTTTGTATCGAGATGCGTATCGGATCGGCATTATAGCTTAGATGCCCAACCCTAGTGGAAACGCAAGCCTGATAAAGGTGACCCATACCGACCCGAACCGTACAGTACCGTACCAGTCAGTGGAAACGAGGCATTACATTTCTGACAGGAAATAGATATAGACAGACCAATCAAAACAGACTTGGCCAGCAAGCTGACCAACCGGAGCAGAATTGGCTAATGGAAGGGATGGCCTAAGAAACCCACTGAGCCCCAAATTGACTCAAATGAACAAAATGAAATCTTTGCGAAATGATTCTAATATTAAGTGCGGTCACAGTTTACAATAAGGTTTATTAGTTTATGTTAACTAATGCATTTACTAACATGAACAAACAATGAACAATACATTTACTACAGTATTTACTCATGTTAATAAATGTTAGTTAATGAAAATACAGTAGTTCATTGTTAGTTTGTTAACTCATGGTGCATTAACTAATGTTAACAAGCATGGACTTGGATGTTAATAATGCATTAGTAAATGTTCAATTATGATTAATAAATGCTGTACATGTGTTGTTCATGATTAGTTCATGTTAGTAAATGCATTAACTAATGAACCTTATTGTAAAGTGTTACCTTAAGTGCATATTCAGAAAATGTCAAAGTTTTCAAGCCTCAAAAGGATTATGCCCATTGTAGGGAACTGAACTATCATATTAGGACACTCTAAAATAGACTTTTAAATTAGAAATGCTTCTGAACTCATGGTTGTGGGACAAGGAGGGAATCTAACGCCGTCTGAATCTTCATGGCCACTTAAAAATCAGTCTGGTGTTGATGAATTTTGATCAGGACATATCACGTCATATTAAAAGCGGAAATGTGTGTGTACCTGGGTCCAGGAGGAGGAACTCTGCCTGCCTTCAGCTCATCAATAATCTGCTCCATGTCTGATGGTTTAAGATCCTCCTAGAGAGCCGAACGGAGAAACAGACATTAATGGAGGATTCATTTATTATGGCTCTTTCGCTGATCTCACAGATGAATCAAACTATTTAAAACTCTGCAGCAAAATCTATGAAATCATATTTACTACATTGAGATAATTGTGATAATTGTAATGTTTAAATATACATTTTAATTTCCTTAATACATAATTACTAATGAGAGTCAACCCAAGTGAAAGACAAAAAGTTCCAAGCATAAAAAAAGGTTTCATTTTTTTTTTTTTAACTTTAAAATGGCATTTATTTTACAGAGAAAAACATTACTACAACGAAGCATAACTTTCAGCAGGATTATCAGGATTGCCACTATAGTTAAATTTTTTTTTGCATTGAATAATTATAGGGGCGAGGCAGTGGCGCAGTAGGTAGTGCTGTCGTCTCACAGCAAGAAGGTCGCTGGTTCTAACCTCGGCTCAGTTGGCGTTTCTGTGTGGAGTTTGCATGTTCTCCCTGCCTTCGCGTGGGTTTCCTCTGGGTGCTCTGGTTTCCCCCACAGTCCAAAAACATGCGGTACAGGTGAATTGGGTAGGCTAAATTGTCCGTAGTGTATGAGTGTGTGTGTGTGAATATGTGTGTGGATGTTTCCCAGAGATGGGTTGTGGCTGGAATAGCATCCGCTGCGTAAAAAACTTGCTGGATAAGTTGGTGGTTCATTCCGCTGTGGCGACCCCGGATTAATAAAGGGACTAAGCCGACAAGAAAATGAATGAATGAATAATTATATCTCTTTATAATTCTTAAGGGTATATCTTATTAGTAATCTTAAATATCCTATAAATCAAAAAGAAAGGTTTTCATTCCAGCTAAACCAAACTAAATATTAAAGCTGCAAGCAGCGATGATAGGGACCTCGCACCCGGGCTCACCGCCGCCCGGTGGCCTCAGGATGACAGAGAACAGCGAACAGTAATAATTTAAGCCGATATATTAAAAAAATCTGAGAAAATCACAGGCTTATGCCAAATTTCCTCCTGTCAGCAGGTGGAGCTATAACTGTGACTCATGATTGGCATGTAGATGTCTTCAGGAGAGGAAACTTATCAACCATGTGAAGTTTTAGGCAGATCGGACATTGTTTGGCTGAGTTATAAGCCAATCTACCTTCTGCCAGCAGGTGGCGCTATGACTGACTCAATATTGTTATGTAGATGTGTTCAGAAGAGGACTTTTATCAATCATGTGAAGTTTCAGGCTGATCAGACATTGTGTGGTTGAGTTATAATAACTTCCTGTTCCATGGCGAAGCGTTGAGGTTTGTCATGCCACCACAGACACGCCCCTCTGCAAAAACTCTACATCTTCACAGTATATCATCACTAGAGTTTTCAGATAACACCACTCTATTTTGGTGCTGATACGGGAAAGTTTGTGGAAGGAGTTTGTTACAGTGTCAAACATGTCAGATCGAATATTGCATGCCTGAGATATAATGACTTCCTGTTTTGTGGCGAATCATCATCGTTTGCGAGGCCGCCACGGAAACGCCCATCGATGAAAACTCTAAAACTTCGCAATTTAACATCACCAAGGCTTTAAGATGACAAAACCCCATTTTGGTGTCAATCAGATAAAATCCCTAGGAGGAGTTCGTTAAAATACAACGCCTAGAAATGGCAAAAACGCCACTTTTTTGCCACAGGAAGTTAAAAATATACGACTTCCTGTTAGGTTTGAGATATGGCTCCAAGAGACTTTTTCGTATGTTTTGGCGTGTTTGAGGTGTGTGCCAATTTTCGTGCATGTGCGTGATTCGTAGATCAATGGCTAGTCCGTTTAATTTTGGTAGGTGGCGCTGTCGAGTCTATTTGCCACGCCCACTTCAATATTGTTATGTGGATGTGTTCAGGAGAGGACTTTTATCAACCATGTGAAGTTTCAGGCTGATCAGACATTGTGTGGTTGAGTTATAAGGACTTCCTGTTCCATGGCGAAGCGTTGAGGTTTGTCATGCCGCCACAGACACACCCCTCGGCGAAAACTCTAGATCTTCACAATATATCATTGCTAGAGCTTTCAGATAACACCACCCAATTTTGAAGCTGATACAAAAAAATTGTGGGAGGAGTTTATTACTCCGTAAATCATGTAATTTCCTGTGGCCAGCAGGTGGCGCTATAACTGTATCTGGATATTGGCATGTAAACGTGTTCAGGTCAGGACGCTTATCAAGCGTGTGAATTTTAAGGCAGATCGGGTAATGCATGCCTGAATTATAACGACTTCCTGTTTTGTGGCGAATCGTCAAAGTTTGCGAGGCCGCCACGGACACGCCCATCGACGAAAACTCTAAAGCTTCGCAATTTAACATCGCCAAGGCCTTTAGATGACAAAACCCAATTTTGGTGTCGATCGGATAAAATCCCTAGGAGGAGTTCGTTAAAATACAACGCCTGGAAATGGCAAAAACGCCACTTTTTCGCCGCAGGAAGTCAAAAATATCAGACTTCCTGTTGGGTTTGAGATATGGCTCCAAGAGACTTTTTCGTATGTTTTGGCATGTTTGAGGTGTGTGCCAATTTTCGTGCGTGTGTGTGATTCGTGGATCGGGGGCTCGTCCGTTTAATTTTTCTAGGTGGCGCTGTCGAGTCATTTTGCCACGCCCACTTCCGAAGCCCATAATAAACGTAAATTTTCACCACTTCTGAGGCGTGTGCAAAGTTGCGTGAGTTTTCGGGCATGTTTAGCCCCTCAAAACCGCGATTCATTCCGGACGAGAATAATAATAATAATAATTAAAGCTGCAAGCAGCGATGATAGGGACCTCGCACCCGGGCTCACCGCCGCCCGGTGTTCTCAGGATGACAGAGAACAGCGAACAATATTAATTTAAGCCAATATATATTTAAAAAACCTGAGAAAATCACAGATTTATGCCAAACTTCCTCCTGTCAGCAGGTTGCGCTTGGACTGTGTGTCAATTTTGGCATGTAGATGTCTTTAGAAGATAAATTTTATCAACCATGTAATTTTTCAGGCAGATCAAACATTGCTTGCCTGAGTTATAAGTAACTTCCTATTGTCAGCAGGTGGCGCTATGACTGTGACTTGATATTGGCTTGTAGATGTCTTCAGGAGAGGATTTTCTTCAACCATGTGAATTTTCAGGCAGGTCAGACATTGTGTGGCTGAGTTATCAGCCAAACTTCTGGTTGCCAGCAGGTGGCGCTATGACTGACTCAATATTGTTATGTGGATGTGTTCAGAAGAGGACTTTTATCAACCATGTGAAGCTTCAGGCAGATCGGACATTGTGTGGTTGAGTTATAAGGACTTCCTGGTCAATGGCGAAGCGTTGAGGTTTGTCATGCCACCACGGACACACCCCTCTGCGAAAACTCTAAAGCTTAGCAATTTCACATCGCCAAGGCCTTTAGATGACAAAACCAAATTTTGGTGTTGATCGGATAAAATCCCTAAGAGCAGTTCGTTAAAATACAACGTCTGGAAATGGCAAAAACGCCACTTTTTTTCAGCAGGAAGTTAAAAATATCCGACTTCCTGTTGAGTTTGAAATATGGCACCAAGAGACTTTTTCGTATGTTTTGGCATGTTTGAGGTGTGTGCCAATTTTCGTGCATGTGCGTGATTTGTGTATCAGGGGCTCATCCAATTAATTTTTTTAGGTGGCGCTGTCGAGTTGATTTGCCACGCCCACTTCAATATTGTTATGTGGATGTGTTCAGGAGAAGACTTTTACCAACCATGTGAAGTTTCAGGCTGATCAGACTTTGTGGGGTTGAGTTATGAAGCCTTCCTGGTCAATGGCGAAGCATTGAGGTTTGTCATGCCGCCACGGACACGCCCCTCTGTGAAAACTCTAGATCTTCACAATATATCACCGATAGAGCTTTCAGATGACACCACTCAAATTTGGTGCTGATACAATAAAGTTTGTGGGAGGAGTTTGTTACTCTGTAAATCATGTCATTTCCTGTGGCCAGCAGGTGGCGCTATAACTCTATCTGGATATCGGCATGTAAACGTGTTCAGGTCAGGACTCTTATCAAGCGTGTGAATTTTAAGGCAGAACGGATAATGCATGCTTGAGTTATAACGGCTTCCTGTTTTGTGGCGAATCGTCAAAGTTGGCGAGGCCGCTACGGACACACCCATCGATGAAAACTCAAAAGCTTCGCAATTTAACATCGCCAAGGCCTTTAGATGACAAAACCCAATTTTGTTGTTGATCGGATAAAATCCCTAGGAGGAGTTTGTTAAAATACAACGCCTGGAAATGGCAAAAAAGACACTTTTTCGCCGCAGGAAGTCAAAAATATCCTACTTCCTGTTGGGTTTGAGATATGGTTTCAAGAGACTTTTTCGTATATTTTGGCATGTTTGAGGTGTGTGCCAATTTTCGTGCATGTGCGTGATTCATAGATCAGGGGCTCGTCCGATTAATTTTTGCAGGTGGCGCTGTTGAGTCAATTTGCCACGCCTACTTCAATATTGTCATGTGGATGTGTTCAGGAGAGGACTTTTATCAACCATGTGAAGTTTCAGGCAGATCGGACATTGTGTGGTTGAGTTATAAGGACTTCCTGTTCCATGGCGAAGAGTTGAGGTTTGTCATGGCACCATGGACACGCCCCTCTCCGAAAACTCTAGATCTTCACAATATATCATTGCTAGAGCTTTCAGATAACACAACCCAAATTTGGTGCTGATACGAAAAAATTTGTGGGAGGAGTTTGTTACAGTGTAAAACATGTAATTTCCTGTGGCCAGCAGGTGGCGCTATAACTTTATCTGGATATTGGCATATAAACGTGTTCAGGTTAGGAGTCTTATCAAGCGTGTGAATTTTGAGGCAGATCTGATAATGCATGCCTGAGTTATAACGACTTCCTGTTTTGTGGCGAATTGTCAAAGTTTGCGAGGCCGGCATGGACACGCCCATCGACAAAAACTCTAAAGCTTCGCAATTTAACATCGCCAAGGCCTTTAGATGACAAAACCCAA